AGAGAGAGGCACTAAAGCTAGAGACCCAGACTGGGATCACTTATCGCTACGGCATTACATGGGAAGCTCCCCAAAATAGGGAATTATAATTTAAATTCAAAAGGTTTTGAAAGGAAGGTGTGGAAAATTTTCCATTGTCATTCCTGGCCACATAAATGGAACAGCAGCCAAATCTGTCCTGGATAAATCTCCAGTTCCCAAATAGCTTCTTTGGCAGTTCTAAAATGCTATTTACGTTTCCAGGTGATTTGGATATACAGCCGTTCTGTCCGCAATCCCCATAGAAAGAACTTATCACAGCCCTGGACCTACTTAAAGGGGGGGGGGGAGTCCTCTAGCTTGTGATAATAACCTGGCCAGCCTTGACTGCTTATTGCATTGGCTGCCTTCACAAGCTGAAATGCTGACCTTCTGAAACTGTAGTCAAGCTCTGATGGCATTAGTCACAGCACTGTCTTTTTTACCATGCATATTTCAAATATAAATCTGTAACAAGATGGTTGTGGATCAAGACCACAACTATTCCTTGTAATGAAATTAAAGCTGCCTTGAAAAATAAGAGCAGATGAAGAGTGAAGTGCAAAAAAGAAAAAGGAGAAAGGAGAAAAACATCTGGAATGGGGGGAAAGAACTGAAAACAAGGGCACAGCTACAACAGCAACAGCAAAAAGGGTGGTGAGGAGGTTCTTGTACACGTTGAAAATGAATGGCTAGGGAGCAAGACTAAAATGTGCTGAGGGTGGCATAACTATAAGCCCTAGTTCTCCATGAGGTGGAAATTTTGTGCCTTGTCTGCATCCATTCAGGCTACAGGTAGGGTCTTAATGCTCCTCCATATAAGAAGTAAATATACAATAAATTTCTATTCATATAGAAAATTATATGTCAGAGAGAATAGCTCTAGCTTGTGAAATTCTACCCATTTGAATTTCTCTCTAGATTTAGGGCTTCTGAATCAGCTGATGTTGCTTCTTCAATGGCTGTCATGACCCCAGGGTCTGACACCCTATCTTCAGGAAATGTGGCTATTGATTCAGAAAAGTATCAGAGCAAGGGAGCAATTTGCCCTCAGAACCAGCCCTAGAAGTCCCGCTCTCACAGAAGGAGCCCATTTTACCAGCAACTATCTGACCTGAGGAGCCATGCTGCTGTCCTCAGATTGTAAGAAATTCTAGTGTAGAAGTCCAAACAGAACTAAGACACAGCTTCTCTAATTGCTATTAGAGCAGGCTAGGCTCCTTTAATTGAATGCTCATTGGACTTGCTGCTAGCCACACAGATAAAGCTGCAGATTTATTTAAGGATGAATTTCCCTGCTGCTTTTGCAACACCATTTGCCTGCTTGTATGAGTCTCCTGCCTGAGTTTCAAATGGAGCTATCCATGGTGCTACCAAATTTGGTGGCACTTTGCCTTTATGGAATCTGACCTCTGCTTTGCTTGACTTTGCCATCTTGGAACCAAAACATCACCTTGCACAACTCCAACTTTGTAGGCAAAGAAACTGCATCACTGTGATGACCTACTTGATTTCTTCCTTTCAAATTTTATTGGGATGTGGGCTATACTGAGTATTTGACCAGTTTGATCATTACTGCTGGATGAGGGGGCTGAAACACCCTGATAATGAAAATGTTTGCCTATTTCAAAACTGTTCATTGCCATTGTTTTACAAATATATTGCTCACTTGGTGCCATTTCCCCCCATCATAAATTCTAGGTATTCTTCATGGAACTGTCACATCGGCAATCCAAGCCAATTGAAGGTAATAGAGTGGTTGGAATATTTGTTATAACAATATGTAGCCAATCAGATTTGGCTATAAGCTGATGTCACTGAGGATAAACAAGGTAGACCTCATGAAGTGCTGTTTTCACTTTCACTGGGCGAGGACTTTATTTGCTATCGATGCAATTGCCCTTATCACTAAAACTGAAGGGGTGTGTGTGTGCTTTTTAACACTACTGAAAAGTTTTGCAAGAAGTGCCCTTCTTTCTGTCAGTCCTAACCACCACAGCTCTCATGCCATTCAGATAACATACGAGGACATAGATTTGTATACTTAACAGTATGAGTTATTGGACTATAACTTGTGCTATAAGCATAAATGGAAACAAACAGGGTGACATGTGTTGCGTTGCTTTTTAAACTCTGCTGGCTGGAGATACTAGGTTGCATCCAACTAAATCACTGTATGTGTGGAACGGCTTCACAAGTGCAACAGAACTTCCCCTCTCTCTCCTCCTCCAAATCTGAACCCCAGAGAAGTTTTGGTGGTGGTGCGGGAAAGGGAAGGGAAGTAATTTTGTTTGATACAAACCAACAAGATTTGGATCCAGTAAGAATTCACAGAAATCAATGAAACAGTTGCAACAGATAGCAATAGTGTCAGAAATTGGTTCACTATTCACACCGCCACTTTCAGGCTTATTTAACCAGCTATTTATTTAAATATTTTTATGCTGCCCTTCATCAGGACATACTCCATCCAAATAAAACTATTGTTTTCCCCAACCATAGAACCCTGGGAACTGGAGACCTTTGAAAGGATTAGTAACCAGTCTTTTCACACACAAAAATGGTTTCCAGGTCTTACCATGAAAAACCATGGCAATTAAACTGGTCTTAAAGATACGCCAACAGAATATAACAAAATGCCTTGCTGTTTTCAAGGTTGGTTTCTTTTATACATCTGTAGACGCAGAACACTATATGCATAGTATGTCCACCTCAACATTTGAAGCCAGATGGAGAGACAGCTCAATTCTAATTAATTAAATATATAACCTTGGCAAATTATAAAGTAACCAGGAAAGACCACATTTTCCCCCTCAGTACTTTAAAAAAGAATAACCAGACAACTAATTTTCCTTCTAAGTAACTATCTTCTAAACCCCATAAATGACTGCTCATTAGCCTGTCAATGTTTATAATGGCTTTCAGAACTGTAACAAGAATTAAAAATAGTTCAGTGAGCAGAAATGGACATTAATTTGTCATACTTAAATATGAACGCTTGAATGAGTTAGCCACAGCAAAGCCCCCTCCCACAGTTCCAAAATCAAAAGCTCTAATTTATTGCTTGCTACCTGTACCTCACTCACCAAGAACTGGTTAAAACGTATCTAATGAAGCCACCTTAACCTTATGTTCCTGGAGAGGTAAAGGAAGTAGAACATTATGCAGTTTTAACTTTGTTTTGTTCCAGAAACCCAAATGAAGGACTGATTGAAAGAGAAAGACAAGAGATAGACTGTGTAATAAGAGAGAGGAATGGATTTAACCCCCAATGAACAATGTTACATACACAGAGATTGTCTAAACATCAGAAAGAGATTAAAGGCTGGGAATGCATAAAACACTTGACTGCTGAGCAACGTACATAGGATGTGAAGCAAAGTGAACATCAGGTTGTGCCCCATGAACCAACTATATCCGTTTGAAGAACTGAAGAGTTAGCACTTCAAGAGGACCTAGCAGGTACATTGTGGGCCACCTGAAGTGTATGTTAGAATGAGAGCACTTCAAAGAGAGATCTCCCTCCTCATATTGGTGGAGCACAAAAGCTGCAGCCAGCACACTAAGGAATTGTTTGTTCCACATTGTTTTCCTGTTAGATAATTATATAACTCCTGAAGTGTGGGATGAATCTCAAAAGACAAACTGCTTTGCCCTATTTGTCTTTAAGATGAAAAGGGGGAAGGTGGGAGAAGTGGGACCATGGGTTGCACCTCCAAAGGAGACCCACTCCTCAGTGTGTTTGTGTTATTGCATGCTTAACCACCACAGGGTATCTCTAAGCAGCCAAGAGCAGGAGGGAAGAATTTTGCAAGATTTATTCCACTTTGTTACACAAGATGCTAGCCGTGAAGAGCTTTCGTTAAACCTAAAGACTTTTATGAACATAAAATCAAATTAAACAGCACATTAAGGGTTCTATCTTCTCTGACTGATGTGCACGCGCAAACAACTCTCATTAACGGTAATGGCAGTTACGCACGCGCATCAATCGGAGAACAGATCCCTAAGTGCTTTATTGTTTTTCCTGGAGATTTTTCTCTATTGGACTTTAATTAAGCTCCTGCTAGGCTTGCAAGTTTTCAGTTTTTTAAGGTTTGCTTTTTAAAGGAAGAAAGAAAAGTGAAATCAGCTTCTTTGGCAGATAAGATCCCCCACCCCCACCCCCAGCAATTGTCACAGTCAAGCCAAAGACATCAACACTAAATATCTGCAAGACATATCTGTTTGAAGTTACCTTGCAGCCTTTGAAGGGCTTGTCATCCTGGAGCAGGTTTGCCAACTGACCAAGACAAAAATGGCCTGGTTTGCTCCTGCAGCTGTTAACTACACCTTGATTTATACAAATCAGCAGGTGAAGGTTTTCAAGGCATGGAGCTAAGTATTATCACCTGCTACTGATGAAGATAAACTTGCTGTTAAAGGCACAACTGTAGGGTGGCAAACCTAAGTTGACAAGAAATTTCTTTAAAAAGGAAGTCTGACTAAAAAAGGAGGATGTTATGAACAGATATGCAATGCACTGGTCTGTTGGTGATCCTAAGGCAAATGTACAAACCTGGGATTGCCAATAAGGTGTCACGCTGTATTGCTATTACAGACACAATTTCAAGTCTTTTTTGTTTTTAAAGGCATGGAGACATACCCTTCTAAGATTATAAATATTAGTCCTGCCTAACAGCATTATGTTTTGCTTACATGAATTATAACATGTCTAATTATAAGACAACACATATGCGGTTGATTATTTTTTCTCGGTGTGCCGAGCTCTTCTAAGAGAGATCATTTCCTGAAAAGAAAGGGACAAATGTTGCAGGAACTGAAATAGGAAGTGGAAGCAGGGCGGGGCTGGGGGAGGCAAGAGCAGGTAAAAAAGCAACATTTGGGATGCATCTTCTGCAATTTGGGGATATATAGATATATATAATATTAAAAAGCGCATAGGCTATTTAATTAACTGCTACTGTATGCGATGTACTTACTTATTGCCTCCACAAACTGTTCAAAGAAGCAGTATGGGAACAGTGGCTCAGGCAGCTCTCTGAAAAACATCTTGAGTGCTCCGGTGACAACGTGGATGTCCTCCCACTGGCTGTCGTCCAAATTCAGCTTCTCTTCTGGGAAAACACGAGGAGAAATGGAACAACTGGTTTTAATGAAACAATTACAAGACACTAATTATTATGTTAATGTTTGCCTACTATCATCAGCAACCGTTAACAGCCTTCTGCACCTAGAGGTTTGGTGCTGTGCATGGGTTTCCACCCCCCTTTCTTTCTTTCTTCTTTTTTTTTCCAGAGGAAGAGAACATTTTCAATGGAATACCATCTGTAGGAATGCAGCTAACAAAAAACAAGAGGCACAAAGAGACAGTAGCATTGACACAGGATGTCAGATACATTTATTCCCATAATGCATCAGTAGGAAAAATTAGCATCACAGCTCAACATGATTCAAAGCTATTTGGTTTCGAGGCCGAGGGGCTAAGAGTTGCCAGGGATGACCGGCTCAAGGGACCAGCCTAAAGGCCTTGCTGAGCCAACAGGAGACATATGCTAAACATGGCAATACAAAATGAGTTATTGCTTTACATGTGTTACGTCTTGCTATGTACAAGGGAATAATGGGCAACACTTTTCTTCCTCTCCTTTTTTGTTGTTGTTGCCTGAATGTAATGTCAGCAAGGAATTCAGTATTGTGGTGGTGGGTGGGAGGGAGGGAGAGAGGAGGGGAAGAGATATTAATTCCTCCTTATTGCTTCAAAAATATTTTGTTTGGTTTTTCAACTCTGGGAGGAAGATTTGCCCAGCAACAATATTAGACAGACCCCTGTTGGCCTACCTAGGCTATGCAAAGCTGTCAAAAATGATAACACGCTAAAGACAAACCACAAGTGCTTGCAAAACTGATTTTCTGAACAACAGAAATCTTTTCTTTTGAAGCTTGACTGAGCTGAGAAATTTAAATATAAAAGGAGGAAGAATGCAAGAAAAAAATTCTAATAAAAAGATGGGGTGATTATTACTTTCCTTTCCTTTAAATACTTATTAGAAACATCTGGTATTATTATTAGGCTACAAAAAAACCTACAGAATTAGAGACCTGACAAAACTCCAAGAAAGCAGAAAATGCCTGTCGCTGTGAATTAAAAGTAAGCAAAGTTCTTTACAACATCTACCTGTTCCAGAAATGCACAAAATTCATAAAGACGTGGTTTGGCTTTTACTTCAGAAACATTTTCATGGGGTATATTCTAGTAAAGATCTAACTAATTTAAAACTATTGGAGAAACATCTCCACCCACCTCAGAGAACATAATGTTACCAGTTTTGAGCAGAAATGAATTGTCTTGCTCAAGCCATTATTAATGCTATTTGCATAGACAAACTTGGTAAAAACATCACACACAGCACCCCACAACCCACATACCACAAAGTAAACATTTTCTAATATTTACTGCTTTCCAAAGAGTGGTGTCAGAAAAGAATTTAAATGTAGGTATAAAGTTTCTAAGTATTGCAATATATTGACAATAACATTTATTTCCCCCAAACCCACCTCTTCCTTAATTTATAAGAGGTTGGAGTAGAGATTGAAAAACATACTTTTAACTGGTTCTCTTTTTCTTCTTTAAAACAAAAAAACCACTCAGACTTTTCATCAACATAAAAACGATTCACTCTTGAAATTGAATTAGGACTTTCTTTTGAACTCCATGATCAAATTTGATTGATTGTATTTCAACAATTAGCCTTTTATTTCCCCCCATACACCATAGAAAGAGACAGACAGCATCCTAGCAGGCCGGTTTTACACAGTTATCTGTTCACAATAGCATCAAAAAGAGAGACCTGATGGGGTTTACTGTCACTTTAAAGAACAGGGTGGGTTTTCACATTGTTGAAATCTGTCAGATATTTTGAAATGTCCCTCTCACTATGGTGCCACACCCCCTGCGTGCCCTTATAATAAAATTGGTTTTACTCCTGATTAAATCATTTTCTCCCTACCCACTACCATACTTCTCATAATGGACCTGTGTGCACTACAGCTGGTGTTCTTCCCATGGTACCAATTCTTACTTTATCTTTTCAGCACTTTGCTGCTAAGATCTCATGCAGAGTGCTTATGTTTTGTTAAGAGCTTCATTCTTAGAGAAATAGCTTAACACATGTTCTAAAAATGTTGTACAACTTATTGCTTAAAACACATTTTGAAAATGTATAAGTACTGTAGCTCTGGCACAAACCTTTAAGTGGAAACCTTAGCAGAAACAACACACACATACACACACACACACACACACACACAAACAAACAAACAAAAACCCCTGCCGTTCTGGCTTGGTATGATTGTTTTCCCCTCTCTCCTGTACATTAAACATCTAAAGTGGAATACACGGATTCTAAACTTTACCAAGAATTATCTGCCCAGATTTTTGCACTGTTTCCAGCTCTTCAAGGAAATGTGTTAGGAACGTATCATCTTGAAAGCAAAGGGTGTCATTTTACCCTCAAGCAATAAAGTGACTTTTTTTTTTTTAAAAAAAAAAAAAGTTCGTTAGAAGGGAAGCATGCCAAATTTAAAAGGGGGTGGGGAGAGAACTGCGTCAAAAAGCAAACTGCAAGAATAATCGACTTGTTCAAGGTAATGCTCTAATTTTTGTTATTAGTCATGGGAGACACTTGAGTGTGGCCTAAAATAGCATTCACATGTGACCTCCTAGGAAAGACTCTCAACCTTGTATCACTTGCAAGGGACACCCCCAACTTCCCATATACCATGGGTAGCATGTAACACATGAGCTGGGCTGTACCATGTGGACTGTAGAATGCAGCAAAGCCCCTGCTAATTGATTTAGAAGTCCCATTTATTCAAAGAACAAAAATAATAATATGTAGAACCTGAAACAAAATGTTGCACTGTAGATCTGTTCAGAGGGCCGGCCAGCCAGCCGGCCAGCCAAACTTTCCTCCAGGATACTATAAAATATTAGGGGAGGTTAAAAATCCTGCTTGCCCCCCTCCCCAAAGTCACACTCAGCATTCCATGGTTCCCAGTGTCCAGTAAGCATGGCCAGTCCTTATTGGGCTGATTTTTCTCTCTGCAGAAGACTGTTGTGTGTGTTTTTAAATTTCAGCAAATGTTGGGGATTCCTCCGATACCTCCTCCTCATTTCTCAGCAGCCCTGTTTTGGCTGTTCTTCCTGCCCACACTGGGACATGAACTTGCTATTAGAAAGAATGATGAAGCTGATGCTGTTGATATGGTCTGGCCATCTGTTTACCGTGAATAGGACTCTCACAGTAGGCCTGAATGATTAGGTAATGATCACTGTATTATAGGCCTGAGTGACTAGATAATGTTCCACAATGGTCAGGTTAATGGCAGGGATGGGGAACCTCGTGACCTGATGTGAGGCGTTGGATTGGTTGCTTGTAGAAACACTAAGCTGTCTGCTTCCACCTATGCCCAACACACACACACACACACACACACACACGTTACAGAAATGTTCTAAGTCTCCAGTGACCTTGGAGCCAAACTCAGGGAAACGCTGCCCTTGAAACTTCTCACCACTCGGGGTGGGGTGGGGGGAACAGGGAGCACATAACGACAACAATAATTACTTATTAGTGTTATTGATGTAAACTGATTTGTGGATTCTTTGTCGGACAAGGCAAGGCAAAAATGGAACAAAGAAATAATAATGCAGTACAATCATACCTTGGTTCACAAACGGCTTAGTTGTTGAACAAATCAGCTTCTGGACACCGAAAACCCAGAAGTAAGTGTTCCGGTTTTCGAACGTTTTTCAGAAGCTGAACATCCGACGCGGCTTTCCCTTGAGTGCAGGGAGCTCCTGCAGACAATTGGAAGCCGTGCCTTGGTTTTGGAACATTTCGGGAGTTGAACGGACTCCCGGAACAAATTAAGTTTGAGAGCCAAGGTACCACTATACAGAACAATAAGAGCCAACTCCTAGGGGTCGAGGTCCCTTCACACACCCACACCCCACATGAAATGGTATGTGTGTGCTATGTATGTCTTGTGATCAATAATGCGATGCAGGGCTTGCTTACCCCCTCCCCCATATTTCATTCAAGTTGGCACCCCTGGTCAGAAATAAGGCCCAACTGGACAATTCATTTAATATTTTGCCCAAGTCAAGATTCAACCCTGGTGTACAGGAATATTTTATTTGTTTAAAGTATTTGTGTTATGTTCACCTCTTTAGGAGAGGAACTGAGGGCTGCTTCTAATATAACTACATAGTGAGCACATATTTGGTTGCATAAAAAACTTTGCCTTTTCTCCCCAGATAGAAATGCTTCTAATCATGAAAGGCTTTTGATCCAGCAGGGAGGTGATTACTTTTTCTCTTTCTCCCTCCCATTGCAGGACCCAGTACCACCTCACACAGTGCCCCATACGGCCCCCAAACTACAGAACAGTGTGGGAGATGGTGCTAGGTGATGTGGAGAGAGGAAACTGGCAAAAGTCACACACTCCTCCACCAGTGGGAACAAAGTCTAGGTGTGGCCCAGGGCAAATTTGGTCCTTAAACGATTTATAGGTTGAGAAGTGAATTTGGAACACTTTGTTAGCATGTTGAACCATCGTCAGCCTTGCTATTTATTCTTTATTATAACATTTATACTCTTGTTTCCAGCTCACAATTAGTTGTTCACAGTGGCTAGCAACAATTTAAATGAAATGCAATTATACAATGAGCTAAAACAACAAAAGCAAACCAAGTGACACAGAAGATCATCATCAGCATAATATTCAAGAGCAAATATTTAGGATCTAGCCAAACCATAAGTGCACTGGAACAGAAACATTTTGGTTTGGCATCTAAAGGCAACGAGGAAAGGAAGTCCTTCTGATCTCCAAGGCAGAAAATTCCACAGCCTAACTGAAAATATTCTTTCTCACGTCTCTGCAAACTGTAACTCTGGGGGTGTGAGGATATGGAACAGAGTTTATGTTATGTCCAAAAACTGTTCATGTGGACCTGCCCTCAAGGCTGTTGGCTGGGTTCGAAATAGCCAGGCACCTGCTGAAGCCAATGTCTCACTAGGGGATCAACAGCTAACCCCTACAGGCCCTAGCT